TCCTGCTGTTGCCCAGGGCAGTACCACGGGCAGCCGTTCAGCTTCGAAAGCAGAAACCCGGGACCCTGCGGTGGGGACGAGACCCACGGCCCCGAACTCTGTCCCCAAACGGGGCCGACCCCGCTGCGACGCGGTGCCCTGAGTCAAGCAGAGGGGAGGACCCGCCTCGCCCACCCCCAGCGATGGTTAAAGGGTTGGGTTTAACTCAAAGAGTGAAGTTTATCTTCCAGCCCCAGCTGTGTTCAAGCCATCCTACAAGCACCGGAGCCAGGGCAGCGCACACGAGCGTGTCTTGGGAGGGAAACACTAAAAGCAATTCTGAGGGATGCCGTTCTCCTTCCTACAGGCACCTTCGTTTTCACAGAAGTGGATGTTAAGATTAACAGCATTATGAAGCCCAAGCAGGACCTGGGCAGTCCTGGCTCCAAAGCAGTAACAGCACAAAAAAACCTTGGGAAAAAAAAAAAAAGAAAAAATCAAGATGGAAAATGTTTTTTCTAGGATGAGCCAGCCCAGCGCCAGCCCCAGCCCCACCGCATCCGTCCGTCCATGCAGGACCGGCTGCGCTGGTCTCTGGAGCAAACAAAACATTTCTAAAATAGTTAAGGGAGGAGAAGGCACGGGAGGGAGATGCTGGGGTGGAGAGGTGCGTGGTACCCGGGTCACCTCCCTGCGTGAGCCACAAGCTCCCCCCACGCCAGGCACCCAGCCCCGGCCGAAAGGAAACGGTGCCGAGCAGGAAGGTGTTAAAAAACCCCGGTACCAACCTCAGAGCAACCACAATAAATAACCTCCCCGGTGGGCTGCTCCCCGCTTGCCTTCCTGTTTGCTTTCGCAGATCCGGGCTGGGACGGCCACCTCCAACCACCGGCCCCGGCCCCGCGTAGCCGAGCTCCGGCCGCGGCACCCTCCACCCACCTCGGTCCCCGGCATCGTCCCGGCCCCGGGGGGGAACCGTGGCTTCCAGCTTCCCCAACGGGCTGGATTTTATCCCACAGGCACAGCCACCAATCCTGCATCTGAGCCCGTGCCTGCTGCGTTTTCCTTCCTCGTCTGTATTTGGTTTTATTTTAAGAGGAGGAAATCCCAGCTCACCCACTCGCCGTCAGCGAGCCACATCCTCGCTCCGTGCCTCAGTTTCCCCCTCTCTCCATGCAGCTGATCCTCCCAACATGGGAACTCCCCACACCCCCCACCCCCCCCCCAGACCCCCTTCTCCCTCCCTGCCCACGCAGCCCTGGATAAAAGGCAACGGGTCCTGATTTACGGGCACTTTTGTGCTTTACCACGAACACAAAGGAGAGGGGGGAAAAAAATAATTAGAGGCACACTCACATCGAAGATCTGTGTCAGGAGCAAAAAGGGGGTCTGGGGCAAACAACACCCCCCCCCCCCCCCGGCAGAGCAGCGGCGACCACGGAGGCTGACAATAGATAAGGGCTCTAAATTCGGCACTGGGCTCCGGCACCGGGCTCTGTAAGGCGATCAGGGTGGGGGTGTGCCGGGCTGTTTATTTGGCTCCAAACTCCACACTGACACTGCAGCGTCACCCGTGTTTAAAAAAGGAAAGAATGAAAAGAGGGGGAAAAAAAATTTAAAAAAAAAAGGGGGGGGGGGGGAGAAATTGCATGCATACATTCAATAATAACAACAAAATAAAAAAAAAAATCAAGAGAAAAAAAGGGGGGGGGGGGGAGGGGGAATAAAAGGAAACCCAGTTGGGCTGGCAAGGTTTAAAGTGATGCCTGTTTTAAAAAAAGAAGTTGCTAATTTTAACTCTCCAGTGGAAAGAGTGAGAGGTACTTACAGGAGACAGGGTGGCTGCGTCCTTCTCCACGTCTGCTGCACGCTGGCGGCCGGGAGGAAGCACGCGGGATGGAGCCGCCGTCCCCGAGGCCACCGGCCGGCCCCCGATCCCCCCCAAAATCCCGTGTGGGGCGCGTCGCGGCGGCCCGAGGGCAGAGGCAGATGCGAAGGCAGGAGGAGGTGGTTACGCCGGCAGGCAGGGGGGAAGGGAGCAGCCAGAGCCGCTCACTTGCCAACAGCTGCCGAAAGCAGCCCCCAGGGCTCGCTTCCTCCGCCACCCCAAACCTGGGGACACCCCAAACCCGGGGACGCAGCGGGATGGGGACAGACCCCACAGTGCAGCGGGACCCCCGGGGAGGACCAGTCCCACTGCTGGGTCGGCACGGTCAGACAACATTTCTGCGCAAGACATTTCTGACCAAGTTGGCTTTTCCCCAAGGGAAAACGGCTTTGAAGAATTTTTTTTTTTTTTTTTTTTTTTTTTTTTTTTATCCCCTCCCATCGGTGGCAAAATAGCGGATGAGCTCAGAAAACCAAAGCTCAGGGCAGAGCCGTGACCACGAAAGGCCACCCGGCTCCGCGGGGAGTTAAAAGGTGACCTCCAGCAGCACGATCGCGTTTCAGCAGCCGCCCGGGCAGCAGGAAACCATCGCTTTACCAAACCCAGGATCCCACCGCTCCCAAAGTTGGAAAGGGGCATGAAGTGGGATTTTTGGTGAGCCCGCCAGCTGGTTTTTACAAGCTCTCCCAGGAAAAAGGGAGAATCCTGTCGGACACAAACAGCTCGGTGCCGGGCGAAGCGGCACGCTCGCGCCTGGAACGTGGTGGGAGCCCAGGAGCTGCAAACTCTGGTCTCCACCAGCATTAAACCTCCAAAAGATCATGATGCAAGGCCTTAGGCAGCTGAGGGGCAGACCCGGTGACCCAAGGGCTCTTCCCAAGCAGCTGGAAATCAGCCTTGGGCTGCAAAATCTCACCGAGAGAAAAGCAGGCTGGGCTGCAAAATCTCATCGAGAGAAAAGCAGGCTGGGCTGCAAAATCTCATCGAGAGAAAAGCAGGCTGGGCTGCAAAATCTCATCGAGAGAAAAGCAGCCCCTGCCACTTGTGCATGCGGTAACGGCCACGTGGTTTACTGAGCATGGCTGCAGTGAGATGATACGGCCGTCTTCAGGACATGAAAGAGTCGATTCAATTAAGGTCGCAGGCCCTAGAAGAGTTTTCTGCAGCAGATGCGCTTGGGGAGAGAGAGGTTTTCCTGGTGTGCCTCAAATGGGGCTGGCCTCAGGAAAACAAAATGCCTATTGATCGCGGGCAGCGATGCTGCACGTTGCAGGACGCAAGGATGGGGCTCGGTCGGGATTCAATCGCCCGGTGCTGGTCGTCGCACGCTTCCGCGGCAGGGTCGATATTGCTCTTCTAATTGCTCAGCTCCCGTCGCTCGCGGAGCGAAGGGGACGAGTTTCAAAGCAGTCCCCTGGGATGCTTTATCGAAATCCTCCTCCCCAAGCTGCACAACTTAATGCACCGCTCCTTGGAGCGAGCAATTATGCAGCTGCAGGAATCGCTGAGCTGCTCCTCCCCTGCTCAAAACTCTGTGCCGGCACCGGCAGCAGCATGGGGCTTTGCGGGAGGACACTGCTGACCCGAAAAAAATCAGAATTTTGTGTGAGCCTAAAGATTAAGGAGCTGTCGCAACTGGTCAGCGGGGAGTCGGCGGAGCTGAGCATCCCGTCTCCAGCAGCAAGCAGCAATTTGGGGGAGAACACGTGTAATTACAGAGGGATCCTGCCGCCGCCCACCAGCATCCGGGGCCAGGGGGATGGGACACGCGTGGTGCAGCGGGACTGCGACGCTCCGGAGCTGGGGAGGGTCCTGCTCTCCACTCCCATCGTTCCTCTACTCCATTTCATTATTCACCGCCCTAAAAAGCGTGCCTCTGGGCTGGTATTTCTTTGTGCCCGGAGCCGGGCCCATACCAGCACGTGGCACTCGCAGAACCGCAGCAGGATGGACCCGGCTGAGCCCCCCTGGCCCCGCTCTCCTCCGGCACGCCACGACCCACCGCCGGCACAAACCGAGCCTCGCTGAGCTACAGCGGGGCCCTTCCACCACTTCCACCCTGACACAAGCCTGTGGAGCTGCTCTTGGTTTCTATCAGCATGGCAAGAGGAAGCCCTTGGTCCTGACCTTGCGGAGGAAACGGCGAATGCTATCCCCATCTCCCAGCACCAAGCCTCCAAATAAATTACCTGCCTCCTCTCCGGCACTAAAAAGCCATCTCAACTCAGCAAAACTGCTCACTAAGCAGCGACGACAGAGTCCCCTCCTTTCAGGAGCTGGGGTCAGATTATTTTTAAAATCTTTCCTTTTATTGATTTCAATATCAGGTACAGAAGATACATTACACAAAACCATAGAGCCCTCATAAAACGGGTCCGTGGCATCGTCTCTACCACAACCTCATTGCAGACAAGGGAGATGCAAACATTTACTGTAACAGCAATAAACAGGCAAAGAAGGTCAAGAAGGGAGAAAACCTGGACACGGGGCCCTCCCCCACCAGCACCTTATTTCTGGGGAACACAAGGGACAAAGTAATAGTGGGTTTGGCCACAAGTATCATCCACGCAGGGAGAAACTAGTGAGGTAAAACCCTCTTTTGCGCTGACACCCCCGATTTGCCAAGAAAGAAACCCACAGAGCCCCCCAGCCAGTGTCGTGGCCGTGGCTGGGACCCAGTAGAGCGGCGCCAGACGACAAAGCGAAGGGGAAGACGGATGCTGGAGAATCACAAAGGCACCCACCGTTGGGTGCGGGGCTGCCTGCCGGGCTGCAGGACCTCGACCAGGTGTCACCTCCCTGCCCCGTGCCAGTTTGGGGACTCTGCCGCCTGGTTCTGCTCACTGGGACCCCCCCCCCTCCCCACGCCTGCAGCAAGAGAGGGGTGCGCAGCCAGGGTTGGGGGGGGGTGGGGGTGGTCCCTGCCTCCCTGCCAGCACCACAACCCGCTGCTCCTCCTGCCACTGTAGGGTCAGATCCTGCACCAATTTGGGAGTCTGAGCTGCACCCAGCTGGGGGGAACTCCGTGGGGGGCCCCCTCCTCGCCCCCAGCCTGGAGCGGGGGAGATGCACGGCCCCTGGCAAGCGAACTCAAGGGCAGCGAGAGCCCAAAAGTTGGGATTTCCTCCCCTACCTGCTACGCAGACTCCAGCATCTTCCGCTCCTGGCAGAGGATGAGCTGCGGCCACCGCTCCTCAATCAAACTGCAAAGAAAAAACGAGCAGCCATCAGTCTGAGGGGACACGGAGGCAAGGACAGGGCTCCCCGCACACCCCATCCAGTCAGGGGGGACAGTGAGGGGCTTCCAGACACCCCCCCGCAGCGGCCCTGGGTGAGGGGACGGGAGCTGGAGGGTTCCCCCCTACCCCCTGCACCACCCTGATCCTGAGCGTTGCTGCCAGGGCTGCGGAAGCCAAGCGGGACCTTGCCAGGCTCCTGCAAGGAACCAAAAGCCCCAACGCCACGAAGCGCAAAGAGCATCCGTGTGCCCAAAGGTGGGGATGGGATACAGGAACCTGCGGGACCACAAAAGAGGGGAAAAGGAACAGGAGGGACAGGTATGAAGCGACCAGAGGGAAAAACCAAAAAAGAGCTCGGGAATGGAACAAATCATAAACCAAAAATTATCATTAACGAGAGACAAGATCCAGCCTGGCAGTTGAAGATTTCAAGGGAATTTCTGTGAAGACCCCTTACGTGCTCCCCGCGGGGAAAAGCACCGACCTGCGCGCTCGGATGCTTTCTGCCGGGGAGCGCAGCCAAAGCGGCCCTCGCCGAGCACAAAACGCCGCGGCCCAGGAGGAAGCGTGGCTGCTAAATTCATCTTACTCGCCCCTCGAAGACGGGAGGCGATCCACGAGGCAAAGCACCGCGGTCTCAGCCAGCCTCGTGCTGGTCATTCATCTACCGGTGGTTGTCACGGTCTGGCGCGAGACAGTGCCACCCCCCACGCAGAGCCTGTCCCCTCACGGCGCGCTCCCACGAGTGAGAGGAATGGCGGCTTTTCCCGCTGAACGCAAGGGAAACTGAGGCACGGAGGCCGGCACCCAGCTCTCCGACCGCGCCGCGAGCTCCCGCTCCCGAAGCCGAGCTGCAGCCTCACCCCCCCCGCCGCCTGCAACAGAGCGAGGAATTGTGCTTGGCTTTCCGGCGTCCTCATCCTCCGCTTCAACCACAAAACCAGCCTTCCTCTCCCCGCTGCCTCCCCTCCCACAGCCAGCTCATTTCCTGACATTACAAAATTCAGCCTGAACAAAGCCGGAGCGAGGAGCGCGTGGCTCGGGTTGGGGCTTCACCTACCCCTCGCCCCCGAGGAGCCACGCGGAGACGACACCCCGAAACAGCCGGGGTCCAAGCAGCTTTCCAGCCTCCCAAGAGCACCCAACCTCGTGCCGTGCGGGCTGGGGTCCTGCGGATGGACCGGCCACAGGGTTCCCCAGCATCGGGACAGACGGACAAGCCTGGCTCCATCACCTCCACGAAGGGAGAGCAGCGGCGACAAGGATGGGGGGGGGGGGGCTCCAGCCACCGCCCCAATTGCACCCGTTAACGCCCAGACCAACCTGTTGCCCCCCACCCAGGACCACCCTCCTATTTCCCTTAACAAAAAAGGGTGTCCCGCATAGGGACAAGGACACCCACAGAAGACGTGTCACCTTGCAAGTGCCACGCTCGCAGCCAGGATGAGGGATGGTGTTACCTGGTGCTTCCACCCTGCCTTATCTTAGCTGCCAACTTTTGGGGTTTGCTGCTCTGCAAACGAGCCCCCCACCACCACACCGAGACCCGCCGGGCTGTCACCAGCATAAACCCAGGTGTTACCCGCAGGGAACGGGGCCGGGGTCAGCTCCGAGGGATGGAGACATTAGCGTGAGTGGGCCCGCCCTGGCACCATGGGTGCCACAGATGCCACCCCCGGTGTTTAATGCAAAACGCTTCTCGACAGGCTCCCGAACCCCCACCTGCCCCGGGGGGGGGTCAGGGCCAGCTCTCTCATCCCATGGGGATGCAACGGCGGGGCACACGGCCAAGCAAGACCTCAGGTGATTGTACACGGAGTCGCCCCTCCTCAGTGGGGGACACCAGTAGACGAGCTGGGAGCATCCCTGTGGGCTGTGGGGTCCCCACTCGCGTCCCACCCGGACCCAGAGCCGCGTGCCAGCGGTGCCAGTCCACGTCCCCACCACGGCACAGCCACGCCAGGCACCGCTCCCACAGACCCTGGAACCGACAGCTAAAATATCCGTGGCTGGTGATTCCAGACACCCCCAGCTCCCGGAGCTGACTGGGCTGTTCTGACTTTCGGACAACATCCGACTCCACGCAGGCCACGGCGGTGCCGTGGTCCCCAGGTTGCGACAATACAAGCAACACCTTTGCCGAGCCACCAGCTTGCCCCCTCGTCGCAGCAAGGTGGGAAACCCTGGGAGGGTCAGGATGGGTCTTAGGGCACCACATGCTCCCCTGCAAGGGCCTGATCCCCACGCAGCGTAGGGTCGTACCCCAACATCACCCGGCTCCAGATCAGCTCCCGGGGGACAGTCTGGAGACCACAGCGCACACAAACGTGCGCCCAAGGGTCTGATCCTCTCCAGCCCCACGGCTCCAGGGCTGCCTCATGCCCCGGCCAACCTTGCCGAAGCCGCTGCCCTTTGGACCCGGTGGTACCAGCACCAGTAAACCCCCCCCCCCCAGTCCCTATTTTGCAGCATTTCAAGCCGGTGCAAAGCAGCAAAGCCCCCACCCGCCAGTGCTGTTGCCACAGCTGCCAGAAACTCCGGATTCTGGGGTATTTCGAAATGTCACTGTCTGACCCACCGTGGCACAGTGAGACCGGGACCGGGCTGTGCCACCGGCAGCCCCAAGGGACCCTCTGCAGTCCCCAGGTCTCATCCCCGCGGCACCGCCTGCATTCAAAACCTTTTTGTTTTAATAGAGAGAAATACTGCCCAGAAAAGGGGAACAGTGTCGTGTTTTCAAAATACTCCGTTATTTTATAAGCTGGGGAAGAACAAATCACATAGGGGAGGGTTGGAGGCAGCAAAACCAAGTGAATTCCCCTTTCTAAGTGAAAAAAAGGAGGGGAGGAAAAGGGGGAAAGAGAAGACAATCTTTTTGTCCAGCTTTCAAACAGAAATGCTGAGCAGACGATAAAATTGTTCCTGTTTGAAAACCAAAGCTTTGGTTTTGCCCAGCAACAAACCAAATCGCCTCCAGGTGGGATCTGCCCCAAAAGCAGCAGGACAGCCTCCCTGATGTTGGGGGGGGGGGGGGGAACTCCTGGGACCCCCTCTTTTTTAACTGATGTAGTCGGGCTGGTGCAACCTGCTCTGCAAAGGCAGTGGGTGGCTGGTGGAGCTGCTCCAGCCTGCCTGGAAGGATCCCAGAGGATGTGCAGAGACCATTCCCCATGACTTCCCTGGATATCTGCTCAGCAGCCCCTGTGCCACAGCCAACCTTTGCTAATACCCCCAAAAATATATATATATTCCCATACATATATATATTTAAACACCCAAATATATATACCCTCATACATATATATCCCCCCAAATATATATAACCCCATATATATAGTTTTTATATATATATATATCCCTGGATATATATATTTTAAAATATATTTTTTTTAATATATATATATCCCTGGATACATCATATATACATGTAATACGTGCAAATAAATAATTCCCTTGAGCTGGGGGAGGAAGGGTCTCAGGCAAAACACATCCTCTCCACGCGCAGAAGGCTGGAAGATGCTAAATCACTCAAACGAGCTCCCAGCCCTGTTATGAGATCAATCACCAGCCAATTAAGCTGCCGGCGTGAGCTCGGCTGGTTACCTTGGCGAAGGAAAACCTCGCTGCCGCTGGCTCTGCTTGGGGTGCCGGTGGCCCCGGGGTATCCCGCACGGCCACTGCCACGGGGACATCCGAGCACACGGGGGAAAGTCTTGGGGGGAAAGGGAGATGGAGGGGAGAATTCGTCTGTGGTGGGGCTCCTCCGGGCCGAAGCGGAGCCCAAGGGGCCAAGAGGGAGGCGCAGATTGTGGAGGGGAAGAGCAGCCGACCGCAATCTCTCCTTCCCCTTTTTTCATGTTTCCTCTAGCAACGGGCTCGGGGCCGCAAACATTTGGATACCAAACCCAAACTTCCCCTCCCCGGGCTCCCAACCCGGCTCGCCGCTTCTCTGCCAGGCGCTTGTGGACCCCCACCTCAAACCAGGGTGGCCCCAGTTCTCAGGGCTCTGCCACGCTGGTCTCGGGGGGTCCAGGCAACAGCAAGGATCACCTCCAGTATTAGCGCAGGAAAACAAAAAAAAAACCAAACAAACAAAAAAAAAGGACTTTCTCCATTTCTCCAGCCCACAAAACTAAGGCATCTCAGCCATGGTCTGGCCTCCAGTTTGCACCAGCCATGGGGAATAACCCCAGGGCTTAATTAGTCCTGATGAGTCTTTTACATTTGGGTTTCCTCTGGCTTCCCACCAAGAGGTGGGAAGGGACAAAATGGGAGAGGTCCCAGTCCAGGCAGGACAGGCTGGTGCTTAAACACAGTGAGAAACCGTGGCTCCCACCCACCCACTGTGCCAGATCCCGCACCGCCAGCACGGGCTGCAGAAAAGGGGATGGGAGGAAGGTGAGGAGGGAGCTGCGCGGGGATAAATCCACCTCCAGCAGCACGAGATGCTGGGCTGCCCGGCATGCTGGTGCAGGGATGGCACAAGAGCGATGGCACAAGCCAGCCGTGCCGAGGACACACGTCCACACCGTGTGAAAGGTGCGACTGCCACCGGTGCTCCCCCATCACCAGCACAGGGGCTGGGTTGAAAGTGCCCCCAGCCCGAGGCAAGGTGGGAATTGAGGTGGGGGGGGGGGTGGGTGTCACTTCCCTGCTCCTCCAGGTCACCTGGCAGAGGCTTTGCCCCCCTCAGAGGGTCCCAGCACGGGTCCCCTGCCCAAAACCCAGCCCCTGGTCGCTCTCCATCCCCACGGAGCCGTGCTCCAGGAAAGGTCACGGCGGCCAAGTGTGGCACAGACACTTGCCACAGGTGTTGCAACAGCGGCCACCAGCCCTGCCAGGACTTGGGGGACACGGAGGGGTGCTGGGGGGGGGAGGGCGGGGGGGGGGGGGCGGGCAGGCAGTGCACGCATGTGACCGTTGGAGCCACCGAGTTTCGCTCTCGCCGGCTAAGTTCCCCCTTG